CGGCACGCAGCCACGCCGCCGCGGCTGCCAGCACCCCGACGTGCTGCTAGATACCCCAGGAGCCCCCACCCAAAGGCAACGACATCTTTAGGTGCCCAAGGCTTCGAAGGACGCAGCTTGGTGGGTGCGACCCATATGCAAACAGTACCAAGCCCCCACAGATGGCTGGTACCCTCCCCCCCGTTGGCCTCTGTTTCTCAGGAATAGCCAAAAACACTGAATTTTAAGATGCCTAAATGAAGATAAATGCCACGACTGGCAGGCAGCTCGCTGCTCACAGTGCTATATTGAGCAAATACCTTCAGACCTGCTCATCACAGACCCAGGCTTCAATTCCAAAGTCTTTACAAATGCGTGAAATAATTTAAAAAAAAAAAAAAAAAAATCGACAAAATGAGATTCCAGATCCTTATCTTCTAATTACACAACTTCAGAAGGTGGCTCAGCTCATTTGTCAATGAGAAGAAATCATCTCAGCATGAAATGGCCCAAAGCCATCAGTATTCTTTAGCCACACAGGTAAGGATTCCTCCTCAGCCCCTTCATCCTGCGAGGTAAAAGCGTCCCCTCCAGCATCCCCTCTGATCCGAGCTCCCGATGCAAACCCACACACATCCAAATCCCCGGAAGGGCTGGCTGGATGACTTGGCTTCAAACAAAACCAGGACTGATCTTTCCCAAAGTTACCAAAGATGTCCCAAAGATTCAGAACAGAGCGATGGGATGGACAGATTTGGGGCTGCCCTCCCCTCTAAAAGTCAAAATGAAGCATAAAAAAACCCAACATTTTCAGTGCTCCCATCAGCTCAGCACCAGGAAGGCTTTGAAACACCAAATTTTGTCTCTACCACAGATGCAAACCAGGTGGGTAAGGAAAAAGGAACCAATCCAACCCTTAAAATTGCAGTTTTGGGGGGCGGTTGCAGGAAGCCAAGGGGGGAGCATGCTCTGAACCCAGACCTCTCCTTTACTAATCCGCATCCCCAAACAAATTGGAGAGAGATTAAGAAATTCAGAATACAAAGAATGTCACAGTCCAGGGAGGGTCAAAAGGATTTGAAGCGATAGAGAAAACCCTGCAGGTCTCCCACCACCCACCCCTGCCACGGAAACTTCTCCAGATAGCTCCAAGCATCCGCACGGGCAGAGCATGTGTTCTGCACATACGTGACCAGAATCCAATGTGCTACGGAGAGAAAAGAGCCATTTATGTCCTCACACCCTAATTCTGCTGGTGGCATCTAATTTTCTCTCCCTAAAAAAAAATAAAATAAAAAAGAATCGGCTCTCCTTTGCCGAGCTCGCTGGAACGCCTGCCCGGGCAGAGCATCGCCCGCATCCACGCTGGCCGGGCAAGGCGAAGGGGCTGCTCTGCGCCTCACCAGGGCCGCTGTGCTTTTATTAATATGTTAATTAACCGGTAATTCCTCCCATCGCGGCCACGCCACTGGGATTATTTGCCGCTCCTTGCGGCCTCCATCGCTGACGGATATTAAATCCCCATGAGGCTACACTGGGAGGGAGAGACGGATCTTTTATCAGCCCAGGCGGGTTAGCTGCACAAAGCAGAGCGGGATCCCACAAAATCTTGGGATGAACCCCCCAGAAACTGGTGGCCCGTCTCCATCGGTGCCCCTCCCGCCCGTGGGCTGTGGTTAGAATTACAGAGGAACTCATGAATAAATAAACCCCGCTATTTGCTTTGCTAGAAGCAGGTCCCGCCGTATCTAAATCCTCGTCGCAAAGTGCCACTCTTCATACCACCGAACGCAACAGCCCAGTTCTGCTCCCACCTCCGCGCCGAGCAGAGCTTTACTCCAAAGCAATACCCCCGCCAGACAGCGATTCCCCGGCTTTTTATTCATGGTGTGCCAAAGGCGGGAGCTCCTCCCTCCCACGTCGCTCAAGGGCTCTCACAACCTCCGCTCGCCCGACCTCGGCTGCCAGCCGCCACTGGGGCCCGTGCCCCTCGGGCGGGCAGGAGCCACGGACCAGCCCCAGCATCTCCAGCCCACGCGAGAAGCCAACAGCTCTCACGGATGCTGCTCGTCTTGTGCCGAAGGCAGGAGCCTTACAGACCCCTGGGGTGAGCTGGAGCAGACTGATGGACCTGGTAAAAAAACTGTCTATTTGCAAATCTGGATGGTTTCTGCCCACTTGCTGGTGGCTTTTTTGATTTAAAAAGAAAAAAAAAAGAATTAGAGGTGGAGAGCGAAGGTTGAACAGCTGCAGGGCTGTAAGGGGAGAGGAACTGCGGGTCCCGCCGTTGCCCTCCTCCTGCTCCACACCAGTGATGCTATTTTTGATAATGGGATTTTAGCATCCCACTACGTCCGGCCTTCAGCCCTCAAAAACCTGCCAAGGTGCCCGGCAGCCCCCTGCAGATCTGCAGGCTCTCCTGCAGAACCGGGAGGCAAAGCGAGACCTTTGCGATCTCTTGATGCTCTCAGCAAATCCTCCCCAGCCGTGGGCTGGGCTCACCGAATAAACCCCATGCTATTTTTGATAATGGGATTTTAGCATCCCACTACGTCCGGCCTTCAGCCCTCAAAAACCTGCCAAGGTGCCCGGCAGCCCCCTGCAGATCTGCAGGCTCTCCTGCAGAACCGGGAGGCAAAGCGAGACCTTTGCGATCTCTTGATGCTCTCAGCAAATCCTCCCCAGCCGTGGGCTGGGCTCACCGAATAAACCCCCCCCACACCCTGAAGCACCCGGGCTGTAACAGGAGGCTGCGGTGGGACCCACATCACGGAGCCACGGCACAGACGAGCATCTTGGATCATGCCTCATTAGCGGTGGAAACACCAAGATCTGCTCCATCAAAGGCTTTCCTGGGGTTTTCCTTCAGCCAAGCTCCTCACAGAGCTCAACACAGGTTAAACCTCACAGGAGGGAAAAGCAGAGAGACAGAGCAAAGCACCACGGAGGATCCCGCAATATCCAGGTACCGGGGAGATTTCCCACCCTCTCGCGCTGTGCTGATCAACACCACATGGGTCAAACCCAAAGGGCAGCAGGAGGAACCCCTTCTCCAGAAGGGAGAAACACTAAGGTGAAGCGGGAAAGAGCGGCAGCAAAGGAAAGCACAGTTCATACAGATTCATTCAGAAATCACCTGGCTGCCGGTCTCCGACAGCCCCGGAGCCAGCTGGAAACCCCGCTGTGTCCCCAAGGCACCCGGAGCCCTCCCACCCACACGGCATCGCCGGCTCTCGGTGCCACGCTGGTGGCTGCGTCCTCAGAACCGTGCAACCTCAGGTGCCCACGGCACATCGGCACGAACGGGTTGGTACCCGCAGCAACCTCCGCAGAAAACCCCGATCCCCCAGGCAGGCAGAATCATCAAGAATCTAAAATTAGGTTTTGGGGCTGGGTTTGGTTTTTTTTTTTTGGTTTTTAATTTTTAAATCTCCCTGGGCAACACTCCAGTGCAGATTCAGCCATCAGGATCCCTCTTCTCTTACCCCTGGATGCATCCCCAGAGATCTCCTTCGACAGAGCGGCCAGAGCCTCCCACTTAATTAAGAATCTGCTGGTAATTCCCTGGAGTGGACTGGCACGGCAGCGGCGGTGGCAGGGACCCAAGCGGGGTGCTTTTGAGGGGATGCTTTGGGGGGGCAGAGCAGATCCTCGCTGCATCACCAGCATGGCGCATCCCTGCCTCCAGCAAGGAGCCTCCAAGGGACTTGGCTGCCACCTCCTCCCAGTAAAGTTATTTCAGCCACCAGCCAAGAGCTGCTCTTGTCAGAAAAATCGGGAGAGGTGTCCGGAGAGGAGCATCACTGCACCCACAGCCACCGAGCAGAGCTTGGGATAAAACCCACGTCTCCCCATCGCACCCCACGGACGCGTCTCCTTCCCCTACCCCGCGGAGCCTCGCGGCGCAGGCAGGGGCTCGCCGAAGGACTGGGGCTGTTTCGCCAAGGGGGTTTTGACCCCCAGCATCACCAGCACCGGCAGCATGGAGGCAGCTGGAGGGATGGGCGCAGCGGGTGCAGGGAGGAGAGGAGGACGGAGGGTGCAAGGTGCTCAGGTCACCCTGACTATTGCCTTCTCAGGAACAACGTTCCCTGTGACCCGCAGGGAGCGGACACTCACAACCGCCTGCGTTACCGGAGCACGATGCTCTATACCAGGCTCATCTTTAGGGAGCAACGACAACCCCCCGCGCAGGGGTTACCCCCACGAGCGAAACGGCCCCACAGCGTGGCCACCTCCAGCACAGCCAGCCCCGCGCACTTCCTTCTTCCCTCCTGGTCCAGGTTTTGTCCTGACTACTTGATTTTTTCTTTAGCCCCAAAGCAAGGGGTCCGTTTAGCCAACGCCTGCTAGAGAAAGGACGGACCCCGAGCACCGTGGCAGGAGCTGCTGGTCCTCCGCCCCGCAACGCCCTGCGTTAGGGTGTCAGCAACAGCTCTGCAGTCATC